GTCCCTCTTAAAATATCATCATTCTTTTTGGTGTACTGTGAGAGTGTTCCTTTGTCGCCTCTTATATTGTCCTAAGATTAAAAATCTTAGGAAATCATTAGATATCGCCGCGTGGTCCCAGCAACTTAATAGTTGGGGATGGGCAGCAGTGTCCCTCTTAAATTATCACCAAAGCCTAACTGCAGGTTCCCAACCCGCCTGCCATACGTGGCAGCTGCTGGCAGAATATCCCAATTGAGGAAGGCCTATGTTCAACAGTGGACAATTAACATCTGATTGATGATAATGATGACGATGATGAAATACAGTATGGAATCGAAGTCGTTAATATCCTTTTAAAGGAGAATTCTACCAACGCAATGGCTTCCAACAGCTGGGGCACTGCTGCACGTTCCTCTACTGTTAAGTTCAATTAGTCGCCTCTTACGATACTCACAGGAAAGGAAGGGGTGGCTTATTCTATGCTGGGACCACACGGACTTAGGGAGATTCTTAGTTTTATTTACCGCTAATAATTCAGATTTCACTATATATAAAACTATGTATAAGTATGTGTGATCACCAAAGGCAAGCGAAATCACTCAGATCTTAAGTCACATGTAGAGACTCCCCAACGACACCCACTGAGCGGGTTTTGTAACGTAAATTGTACGATTACGTATGTCAAGACGGCGCAAAGCCAATTTACGTGTCGCTACCTCGATAAATCCTGTTGATGTGCAATTATGTGTATTTATATTTTGAATTTTATCGGCAACGGATTAGATTCCAATTTGACACACCTGTATATGCACGAATGCCGTTTACATTTTGCGTTGGCTATGAATGTAAATGTTTATATTATGAAATGTTTATTTTTACTAAACGGAATTACATTCGAGATGGGCGGAATACTTTGAATTTTTGCTGCACTCTAATCATATTTCTTTATATATATACATTTGGAAAACCAACATGTAAATGTTGCGAGTATTATTGGAACGTGTCGCCTGGTATGGAAGAGATTTTTTTTATTAAGAAGCACATACATTGGCGGTGATAATTTAGAATATATTATAAAGCAATAGCTTTATAATATATTAGCTATAAGCTATCGCTTCCTTTCCCATGGGCGTTTGAAGAGGCGACTAAGGGAACAGCAATATTTCTTTTAAAACAACAACAAAAGCCTAACTGCGGTTGCTTTTTTTTAATAAATGATAATGGCATAGTAACTCCGCCTGCGCTATCGGTATGCACTGGCATGGCACCAGTGTAGGATGACAGATGTGCATGAAAGCAAGTCAGTTAGCCCATTGTGACGAATGCAACAAGTATTAATCACGACGGTATCCAGGGTGGGCCGCGTAGAGGTCGAACTGACAGGGCTTGCTAGCAATGAAGCCATTAGTCCCCGTACTAACTCGCCTGGCAAACATGGCTACTACTGGTAAAATCACCTTATGTTGGAAGTCTATATTCAGCAGTGGACAGGCAAGTGCCATATAGTATGGTAGGCATTTATTGACAATTGCCACTGTAGTGAAGATAACACTCGACATATCCACATTTTGCCAAACATATTTAAATCAAAAATGGAACGAGACGTGCCTACCAGTCGTTCGAATTATTATAAATCTTTCCTTTTTTCTTAATTGATATATTTGAGAAATAATTCTTGTAAGAAGCAATTTACAGTGGTACCCTACACTTTGGTTATGTTTTGTTAAGAGAGAGACTGGCTGAAAACCAGCGCTGTGCAGCTGTTCACATTGCGCTGGGACACTGACAGGCATCAGCTGAGCCGGTTCCTTTTGCCTAGTATGGGTCCACTTTTTGTATATGTTATTTATATTTTATATTGTAATTGTATGTTTACCTGCAATAAATGTTTCTATTCTATTCTATTATTTTTATACAGTAAAAGCTATAGAGAAAAAACTTAAGACGTCATAAGTGTAACAGGTTTTCAGGTCATTCCGAGCGCCTGGTCAATTAACGCCATCTACCTCGATTTTCGAGACAAGAGTTGGTCACATAACGGTCACTAAGTACAGTTCAATCGACAGTTTATACTGCGAACATTATATACCGACGCGGCAATAAGTTGTTTTTCTTTTATACAACCTAGAATTGCAAATAAGCTGACGGTCCACCTGGTGGAAAGTGGCAACCGTTGCCTATAGACATGAGCAGTACCATGGACATAACAGAGTATACTGTTTCGCCAATGATACCCCCCATGCGTTGCCATTCCTGAGGATTCAGGTTTTATTCCTCTGTACCCTGTAAATTCACGCCATATACCACCCTTCAAACCGAAACACAGCTGCTTCACGGTTGAAACACGAATAGGACAGAGGTACCCAAGCAATCGACTTTTGTACAAAGTCCCCCTCTGTTGTTTTATTATCCTTACTAATATTATAAATGTGACAGTAAGTTTGTTTGTTGTCTGTTACTTTAACAGCTCAATTAACTGCCGTGTTGTTATAATATACCAAATATTATTTATTTATTTAACACTTTATTACACCAACATAACAGGATTTGTTCAACAATTTTCATTAAGAATAGTGTAGTACAAAAGGCGGCCTTGTTGCTAAGCAATCTCTTCCAGACTTCCTTTGAGTAGAAGGAATTAAAACATAAGTAGGTGGCACGTTAAAAAAAATAGATCTGTAAAAATAATAAATATCTGTGACAGCATAGTCATTTATACATACATAAATAAACACGTATGTCCAAATATATACATACAAATACATATATAAATATATATATACATACACATATACATACGCATAAATACATACAAATATACAACACTAACACATATATATAACACACATAAAACTGGTAATATGGAGGACTAAATGATTACAAGGATAGGTAGTGGGATTTAACTAAATTTGTAAAAATGGGCAAAGATTGTTCGCACTGTATAAAGGTAGAGAGTGAGTTCCATAAACGAACTACTTGCACAGAATAGGATTTGGAGTAGAAAGAGGAAGAATGAGTAGGTATTGTGAGTTGGAGTTATAGATATAATGTAATTATTCTTTGTATCAGTGATAAACTATATTAATGCTAAGAATATTATATTATTCTACTCCTGTTAATTTATTAAAAGATACTATGAACAACAAATATATTGGAATATGGCAGTGAATTTACAGCGTACAGAGGAATATCACCTGAGTCCTCAGGAATGGCAACGCATGGGGGGTATCATGGGAGAAACAGCATACTCTGTTATGTCCATGGTACTCATATCTATAGGCGACGGGTGCCACTTTCTATCAGGTGGGCCGTCAGCTTGTTTGCCATTCTAAGTTGCATAAAAAAATATTAGTTTTCGTTTCCTGATCTGATGAAAAAGAAGAAAAATTAAATTTTGAAAGTATTTATTCGACACAAAAAACTGAGTGTAGCTGACCAAATTATTAAAAAATTAAATGGAATGAAACTTATGGGATTAAATTGTATCAAATAATAAAAACTTCAAAATTGCCAAAATATTGGGGTCGATTCTGAAGTGTAATTTTTATAAACCTATCTTTTAATCTTTTATTTTAAATTGAGATACTTTCATGAAAATATTGTTTTATAAAATATCTATTAGAAATTGTTCATATTGGTCATTAGAATAAATATTTTACAGTGATATTAAATTGAAATTTTAATTTTAGAGCTATATTTACAGATATAGCGCCTGAACTGACCTCAATATCTGATAAATCACACGCAAAAAAAACTATCAAATTGATGTTGTTCCTGTGTTTGAAATTGGATCAAATAATAATAATAAAAAAGATTATAATTTATATCTAGTTATTATGATTATTTATTATGTCTATTTTATTATTTATATCAAGTAGTACATTTATTTACTTATTCTTTATTGCACAATAAAACTTTGTACAAGTGGCGAACTTAACGCCATATGGCATTCTCTACCAACTAATCATTAGGAAAAAACAATATACAATATATAAATATATATACAATTCGTTTAATTATTTTTATAATTCAAATTTTTTTCTTGTTACATAGTAACAAGGAAAGAGGTAATTCATTGCCGCACATTTATTTAGCGGGTGAATGTTAATTTCGTGCATACACAGTGGATCGCAGTTCACAGTTCGGTTACTGGTTGAGGTTCAGTTGGTGTTCTATAGTTATAGATAACGTGAAGTGTATTTTGATAGTGATAGTTCAATTGACAAAATGAAGTGGCTCAAAGTATTCATTAACATGTAAGTATTCATCAATAATAATGTCTGTCTATACTGTTTGTTTGTTTGTAATGTATAATACTCAAAAACTACTGAACCGATTCAAAAATCCTTTCGCTTATCAACGAGGAGTATAGGCATCATATAATTTTAAAATTAAAAAAATATCCTTTCTTGCGAAAACTACAATAATGTAACTCAAGACGTCAAAAAATTGTTTTTTTTTTTATTGTTTGGGGGGTAAACTAGCAGGAAGATCACCTGATGGAAAGGAGGATTGGAATACCGTCGTTCATGAACACCTGCGACGAGAGATTTACTTGTGCATTGCCGGTTATTTAAATGTAACAGTATATAAAACATAACATTTAAAATTATATAGTGAAACAAAATATTATGAGACATTATTTTTTACTAATGATGACCATCTTTGATTAAAGGAGAACAGATAGAAGTGAGTTGGTGGTGTAAGAGCGAATTAATAATTTTTACATGCATAATATATTATACATCTGAAATGAAGTCATCAACATACCAGACTTTAACTGCTCACTGCTGAACATAAGCCTCCCCCTTGGGAGTTGTTGCCATGCTTGGCAGGTAGATTGGCAACTGCAATTAAGGCTTGGAGATATTTTAAGAGGGACGCCGCTGCCCATTCCTCGCCCTCCCTTAGTCGCTTCTTACAACACCCATGGGAAAGGAAGAGGTAGCCTATTCTATGCCGGGATCGACACTGTGAACGTTATGTGTGTGTTTCTAATTTTTTTTTTATTATTTCAGAGCACTGTTGAGTACTTGCTCTTCGTTGAAGAACGAAAGGCAGAGAAGAGGCCTTATATTTCCACCCACAAGTCTTTACGGGGTAAACTTAATTACTATTCATATAGCTTCACCAGAGGGAGACTTTGTACAAAAGTCGATTGCTTGTGTACCTCTGTCCCATTCGTGTTTCAACCGTGAAGCAGTTGTGTTTGCATGGCTGTTTTTCGGTTTGAAGGGTGGGATATGGCGTGAATTTACAGGGTACAGAGGAATAACACCTGAGTCCTCAGGAATGGCAACGCATGGGAGGTATCAAGGGTGAAACAGTATACTCTGTTATGTCCATGGTACTGCTCATGTCTATAGGCGACGGTTACCACTTTCCATCAGGTGGGCCGTCAGCTTGTTTGCCATTCTAAATTGTATAAAAAAAAAGCTTAAGTAAATTATTACACACATGACTTAGACATTATTCAATTTATTTAGAAAACCCATCGGTATTTTTTATGTAATGATAATGGAATGGTAACCCCACTTGTACTATCGGTATATACTAATGAGGTACCAGTAAGAGATAATAGATGAGGATGAAAGCAGGTCTACCTATCATAAAGAATTCAAAAAGAATTAATCGCGACGGTTTTCAGAGGAAACCGCGTGGAGGTCGACCTAACAAGATATATTGCTACCAATAGAGATATTACTAATAATCTCATTCCCCCAACTCGCCGATACTAATACGTTAATATATTTGGATGAACCGAATTAGGTCTGTTTTAATTGAACAATTTGACGTTTTATTGTTTCTAACTACTCCAATGATGTACAAGCGTGTATGTTAAAATACAGTATAGTCTACGTAAAGTCACAGTATACATAATACCACTAATTCATACAGTATCTTAAGAAAAGGGACAGGAAGCGTCCCTTTCTTCTCAACCTTTCTACCACCTTCATGATATAAATATTTATATATTACTATATACATGTACTAAATTATTGTATAACCTACTTGTGTACCAAATTTCATTTAAATCTGTTCAGTACTTTTTGCGTGAAAGAGTAACAACCCTCCATCTATTCAGCCAGCCATCCACGCATCGTTACAAACTTTAGTGTTAATTATATTAAAAGGATTTATTACTACTGCCTTACCATTTTCAGACGTTTATCGCCATCGCGGTACCAGTCGATATACCTGATAAGAACGTGTTTGTCTCTTACAACTTCGAATCGAACTACAGCGTTCTCACCAACATCACGCAAATAGACGAAGTAATATACCCCAATCTGCCTGTAAGTTTTGTTGCTTTTTATACAGTTATTTAGCAAAACACTATTTATCTTATCTCTTCTTCTGATATCCCATTTTGAACAAACTCAAAAAGGAAACCAGAGGGAGACTTTGTACAAAAGTCGATTGCTTGTGTACCTCTGTCCCATTCGTGTTTCAACCGTGAAGCAGTTATGTTTGCATAGCTGTGTTTCGGTTTGAAGGGTGGGATATGGCGTGAATTTACTGGGTACAGAGGAATAACACCTGAGTCCTCAGGAATGGCAACGCATGGGGCGTATCATGGGCTAAACAGTATACTCTGTTATGTCCATGGTACTGCTCATATCTATAGGCGACGGTTACCACTTTTCACCAGGTGGGCCGTCAGCTTGCTTGCCATTCTAAGTTGTATAAAAAAAGAAGAAGATTCTTAATTAAGTTGTGTTTTTTTTATGTTTGTTACCTTATATTTACGTCAGTTGTTAACCAATTTGAAAAATTCTTTTTTTATCTAAAAGAATATACAACGGTGTCCTAAAATTTTAACTGAATGGGTCCTATAATTTAGTTATTAAATGAAAATAATTAGTTTCGTCACCATTGATTTCGAATTTTTAGGAGACACTGTTGTAAATAGCATGATGCAGTAATAAAACATATATGTATTTGAGATATAATAATAAGTTCAGTGAAAAAATACGAGACATGTCTTATAAAAATCTGACATAGAACAAACACTTAAAAATAATACATTGTTCTAAAAAACCTCAGGGTCAACAGTCAGTATTAAAACTCCAACAGACACAATCTTTAATTACTATTTTTTTTTACGTTATTATAATATATAATAACGTAAACTACGAGTAGGTAAAATATAATTACATATATATAAATATTTTTTGCGTCTTTCTTTTTATTATTTTGGTGTATTTACATTGGATTTTTATTTTGTGATCCTATTATATGAATATAGAGTAGTACTTGATATTCTACACTTGAAATAAGTTTTTTTTTTTTTTTTATGGGACACAATCTTTAATTATATTTGAACAAAAATTTATAAATATAACTATAATTATGGATAGACTGATTCGAAAAATATCTCTATCTACCTTAGTCAAAGGTGTTTATTGACTGTTTTTTTTTTTTGATGGGTGAAAATGGATTGGTAGCTCCGCCTGCGCTAGCGGGATATGCTGGCGGAGCACCAGTGAAGGGTGATAGATGAGAATGAAAACAGACCAGTTAGCCCATCATGATGAATTCATCAGGAATTAACCATGATAGTTTCCAGGGGGAACCGCGAGGAGTTCGACCTGGTTGGGTATATTGCTAGCAATAGTATTCTCAGTCTCCATTACTAACAATCCCTTTTCCGCCATTTATTGACTGTTACAATTGTAATAAACATAATATATCATGATTACATTTTGCCTAGCATATAAGAATCCAGCACTACATACAACATTTACCAGTGGGAGACTTTGTACAAAAGTCGTTTGCTTGGACACCTCTATCCCATTCGTGTTTCTACCCACAAGCAGTTGTGTTTGCATGGCTGTGTTTCAATTTTAAAGGGTGGAATATGGCAGTGAAATCACAGGGTACAGAGGAATAACCTCTGAGTTCTCAGGAATGGCAACGCAGAATCATGGACGAAACAATATAATCTGTTATATCCATGGTGCTACTCAAGTCTATAGGCGACGGTTACCACTTTCCATCAGGTGGGCAGTCAGCTTGTTTGCCTTTTCTAAGTAGCATAAAAAAACTGACACCAAAATTAATTTAGTTTGTTATCAGTGTTTTCCATCAGCAGAAAGTTGTTAGATATATAAAAATTTACTGATATATAAAGTAGTCAGTAAGTTGCCATATGGTCCCGGCATAGAATAGGCCATCACTTTCTTTCCCGTGGGTGTCGTAAAAGGCGACTAAGGGAAGCGCGAGATGTGAGCATCCGCCTGCCAAACATGACAACTACTGGCGGTCCCCCAAGGGGGATACTTATGTTCAACAGTGGACAGTTAAAGACTGATGTGGTGATGACGGTGTTATAAATTATTTTAACTTTTAATAGCTAGTTACTAGCTTATGACCCTAATTATTTCATACTCAACATTTACAGGTTATCAGCTCTCGACAAAGCCGCAGCATCACAAGGGAACTAGCTTATATGGTATTAGAAAATCGATTCAAGGAGTAAGTTTTTTATGGATATATTTTATTGCTCCGTATATAGTACTATAACGACAATATCCGTACGTCTGTCATAAGGACCAGATCGTATACAGAATAAGGAAGTACCTACTTATAATTCAAATATTGCTGTGTGAATTTGAATGTAACACCGTAACCCAAATCCATATTGGATTTTATATTTAGATAAAGCATGACAACAAAAAATATAAAATGTATAAAAAATTTAAAAAGACAAATAACTATTATAAGATTGTGTGTATGTGTGCGTGTGTGTGTGCGTGTGTGTGTGCGTGTGTGTGTGCGTGTGTGTGTGTGCGTGTGTGTGTGCGTGTGTGGGTGCGTATGTGTGTATGTGTGTGTATGTGTTTACTCGTATGTTGCTTCCTTTTTCTGGAATAAAATTTCAATTTTAAATGATTAAAGCCTACATTCGACTATTTTCCACAATCAAAGATTTGTTTTAACTGATTTAATATCTAAAACATTTCACGCAAGTAGGTACTTAATATTTTTAATCTATTCATAGTTCTAATATACTAGTACTTGCAGATTAAATTTAAACGTTAAAGAGACAAGGATAGTATGTATCATGATATTACCACTATTTTCCTTTCTAAGAGTCGTACAGACTCTCTGGAGAGTTAACCTCCATTCTTGCTTCCGACTCCATTAACAAAATGAATAGCACTAAGCTAACGTTGTGTCAGCGAACCATATGTTATTTTATAATAGCTTTTATATCCAAAACCAGTCGAGCGGAAATACAAGTTTGATGTGATAATACGCAATAATAGGAATGGTTCTCCCTATTTCTGTGTTCCTAGTACAATCTCGGCAGCTTCAAAATTTTATCTGGTTATATACGTTCGTTCCATTTTAGATTTGTTTTAATTTTATCATTTTTATCATTTCATTTAACCCTTTATTGCACCATAAACAAAAATATGCAATGACAATTCAAGTACCATAAATACAGATTGAAATATACACGTAAAGGTACAAAAGGCGGTCTCATCGCTAGGGCAATTGCTTACAGACAATCTTTGGTTAAAGGAGAAGAGATAAAAGTGGGTAGGTGGCGCGAGACAAAATTTTATTATTTTGTTTTCTAAAAATCATAAATTCATCATCATTGTCATCATTGCATCAATTTATTAACTATACACTGCTGAACATTCGGCTTCCCTCGTAGACTGCTATAAGAAATGGTCCCGAGCCACCTACATCCTGAGTTGATACTCAGAAACTAAACTTATGTTGAAGTAAAAAATAGAGAGAAAATAATATACTTTCTTTTCCCAAATAAAAAGGACAAAAATGTACCATTCCGTAAAGTCATCGCTTTAAATATTCTTTATTAACACCATAACTATAGAAGCACGGAGCCCCTGCTCAGAATAACAGAGCTGATGGTAACAATATCAGTATGGCGTAGGAGTAAAATATAATGTGTCACGTGTCAATGGCATTTCATCCCCAGGCTCTCGTAATATGATACTAAAGTAACAAACCACGAGGCACCAGTACAAGAAAAAAAGCTCGAAATCAAACTATATACCAAACTGTCTAGCCAGCGCGATTTTATTTATTTATTCTTCATTGAACACAAAAAATTACAACATATAATATATATATAAAATAAAGATGTCAACAGGCGAGCTTAACTCTGTAAGAGTTCTCTTCCAGCAAATCCTGAGTGGAAAGGAGCATTAATTACTAGCGGGCAGTGTGCGTACAATAAAAATGATGATGGTAATAATAAGCAAGTATCTTACTCTTTCTTTTTAATGGATCATAATGGAATAGTAACCCCGTCTGCGCTAACGGTATACGCTGGTTCTGCACCAGTGAGGAATGATACGTGAGAATAAAAAGGCAGGACAGTTAGCCTATCGTAATGAATACGCTTGGAATTCAGCACGATGGTTTCCAGCGGGGACCACGGGAAGATTGACCTGTTAGAGTATATTGTTAGCAATGAGACTGGTAAACCCCCAACAATCCTTTCCCCCACCAGTATCTTACAAGATCTTATAAGATCAAACCCTAATATGAAATTTTAATATACCAGTATTTCGGTATTATAACATAGCTTGATTGCTATTCCAAATGGTAAATAAAAAAGGAAGCTATAATAATAATATCTCTCTAAACCAATTTTCAAACAAACCATTTTTGTGTTCGATTTTCCTTCCCTCTATGTAATATTTCTTATCCAATGTATCGAAATACGAGTATAATATTCAATTTCTTAAACTTTGATCCGTATATCTAAATTAATTTTGTTGAAATTTAATTATTAGTACGCTAATCAATACCCAATTATACTCGCTAATTTCCAAAGCTATGTAATATACTTTACGTTATAATTATAAAATTTACATGGATTTAATTATTTTTTGTGAATAATTTACGTAATATTTAATAATATTTAAAGCTAACCTCGTTCTCTTTAAGATCAGGGTACTCATTATCCTTTACTTGAAAACTAAAATTTTTTAAAATAAAAATCATTCAGTTTGTAGAATTTTTCCTTTAGTTCAATTTTAGTTTAATCAGCTTATAACAATTTTAGTTAACTAAAATCCTATCAAAATAATTTTTGATAAATTAAATGAATTAATTTGTAAATGACTGAAATGTGATCATGAATTTTTCAGCAAAATAATAATTTCAAAGTTTTATAATTTGTTTATTATATTACTTCCTACTACATACTTGGATTGATGAGTTAACCAATTTAAAAAATTGATTATAATTAAAAAATACAATAAATAAACATTATACATGTACGAAGAGAAAACTAACTCTCTTATTATGGTCAATCTTATAGTTTCACTTAAGTGACAGAAATTCGACGTAGAAACATAGAATTAATTATACGTGAGACAAGAGCTATAAATAAAGATAGAGGTCTTTAGTACTGACTTCTATTCAACTACCCTGCATATAATACTTGGTATCAAAACGGATGAATAGATCGTTCATTTAATAAAAAAAAGAAGTTTTAAATTTCCCGCAGAAAAAAAGAAGTTATATCAGTTTGTACTCCTATTTTATCACCACACAGATTTTTTACTACTTTTTTACGCACTACTTCATATGCGTGGATTTCAGAAGTAATAAAACCAGTTCTACAGACCACTTGTAGATGACGTATCAAAGTGAAACGGTGAAACACCATATTTTAAGTAAGACCTTCAACAATCTAAACCGGTAAAAACCTCATCCAATTTGGTGCAGTAGTTTTTGCGCAATGACCCAAAAATAAAAGACAAAATTTCTAAAAATTATTGTTTTGGCATCCATTGATATTATTAAGTCCTCTCACGTTCAATTCTCTTAAAGATATCAATATATAGAGACATTATCAAGTTACAAATTTAACATATCCCTTTTAAACTCTTTTCTTCAGGTATGGTATGAACGGTAAAGAGTGCATGCTAAGGAATATCTGTGAAGCAGCCGAAACTCCGCTGCATCACAACGGCCTCTTAGGACACATAATGCATATTATATTTACGTAAGTATAAAATTATGTATCTTCAAGAAAGGAGCATATTCCTTCTTAAATGGCTGGCAGCATGCCTGCAATGTCTCCAGTGTTGCGAGTGCGCATGGGTAACGGTAGTCACTTATCAATAGGTGAACCGCATGCTTGATAATGAACATATCTCAAATTAAAAAAGTTAACCATGTATTTTTGCTGAATCAGCATTGGTGCTCGATGCCAAATCACTCACTTGTTAAAGCTCTAAGCCTTATACACCAACAAATGATATTCTGAAGTTGCCAAACTGAGTTTTCAAAAACGGAGTAGATACTTAGACTGTTTTTGGTAAATTGTAAAAATGTTCCTTTGTCGCCTTTGTCTTATAATATCCTAAGATTAAGATGTAGTGATCTTACCAATCGCCATGTGACCCTATCATAGAACCACACGTCGATTGGTAAGATTAGGCTACCCACGGAAACGGAAAGGGTAGCCCATTCTATGCCGGGACCATATGGCTATACAAATTTTATACTTACAACAAAATGAATGTAGTCCAACTGTCTGTACCTTACCATAACTTATTTAAGTAAGTATAGGTGAGATACTTTTTATACTACCAGAGGGAGACTTTGTACAAAAGTCGTTTGCTTGAGCACCTCTGTCCCATTCGTGTTTCTACCATGAAGCAGTTGTGTTTGCATAGCTGTGTTTCGGTTTGAAGTGTAGACTATGGCAGTAAATTTACAGGGTACAGAGGAATAACACCTGAGCCCTCAGAAATGGCAACGCATAGAAGGATATCATGGACGAAACAGTATACTCTGTTATGTCCATGGTACTGCTCATGTATATAGGCGACGGTAACCACTTTCAGTCAGGTGCGCCGTCAGCTTGTCTGCCATTCTAAGTTGTATAAAAAATAAAAAATAAATGAAAACTAATTAACGCGAGAAAAGCTACAGGATGCAGCTAATAAATATTACCAATAGTAATATATATTTCTAAGAATTCTTCGTTTGTTCGTCCGTTCTTAAAATTAATGTAATTCCAGGCCATCCTCGTCCCGCGAGGAAGGAATCGACGATGACTACTACGAAGCCGAAATGGAAGGGCAAAGGGGGAATTGCGACAGATATCTGGACGACTGTCCGTTCAGCTTGTTCGACGTCATCACAAGATTAGTTGAAATACGTTCATAACTTTACAATCTAATACTAAAGGTCTGCGCAGAAGATAAACATTTTTTCATCATACAAAGTTTCTTATTCTCTAAGTCAGCCTTGCCCAAAATGGGTGATAATGCCCCCTTATAGGCGCTGCAGGCTTAAAGGATAGTGGTAAGATACCCAGAAAAAAAATGGGGGCGTTGTGTAAAGGCCAATCCTCTACACAACGCCCCCATTTTTTGTGAGCAGTGATTTGTTGATCTTGAATTAATAGTGGTTTTTAAGCAGGTGAAAAAAATGGGGCGCTAAAAATAATTTATTTTCAAAGTGGGCAGTAGGCAAAACAAGTTTGGGAACCCCTGCTCTAAATACTGCACTTGTACAACATATCGTCATAGTCGTAGAATACTGACGGATCTGACAAATATTACATATATAGATCCGTCAGTATTCTACGACTATGACGATATGTGTGTCGTAGCATGCGATGTTAGGTATTTTATTATGGCTGAACAAAACGTGGCTCAGGACCGTTCCTTATGACAGTCTATAGGAAAGACCTATGTTCAACAGTGGACAGATAATGGCTGAGATGATAATGATGAGCAAAATATATGACGATAAGTGTCTGTTATTAGATTTTAAAGCCTGCTCCCTAAAAAGTGTCAAAGAAGAAAGAAATGGAAAAGAAATTTTGTATGCGAACAGATTTTCCTTTGTATACGCCAACTATAAAAATGGAATTTTGTAAATAAACATAACATATAATATAAACTCTTCTTTTTTTATTTTTTTCTCTCAAGATATCTCGTAAAACAATTTATTATCAATACACCTACCTATATGACTTTACTTTCACTTTGGTGAAGTTAATGACTATGACTTCTAATTAATAGTTGATTATTAATAATACATATAAAATGTTGCATGCCGAGCTGGCTGAATGTCATGGTTACACAAAATGTATAATGTTATCTAAACTTACCACATTCATCGCAATAAATTTCATTTCATTTCATTTCATTTCATTTCATTTCATTTCATTTCATTTCATTTCATTTCATTTCATTTCATTTCATTTCATTTCATTAAAAACCTGACATATATTTATATGTATTTTATCTTTTAAACATGTCTAAATCTCATTTTTATATTTAGTTCAATTATCATAATTCATTTCTAATGACCAGGATATCTATCGATATGTTTCTTATACTCTGTGATCTTTTTTTTATACAACTTACAATGGCAAACAAGCTGACGGTCCACCTGATAGAAAGTGATAACCGTCGCCTATAGACATGAGATAACAGAGTATACTGTTTTGCCCATGATACCCCCCATGCATTGCCATTCCTGAGGACTCGGGTGTTATTCCTCTGTACCCAGTAATTTCACGCGACACAACTGCTTCACGGTTGAAACACGAATGGGACAGAGGTACCCAAGCATTCGACTTTTGTACAAAGTCTCCCTCTGTCAATGTAATTAGGATTTTCTTCCATTCGCCTGAACAAGCAAGCGTATCTCTGCAATTAGGTATATTTCTAATATTGAGCAAATTATAAACATAATACATTTTGATTTGTAGTCTTCATTGATCTAATAACCATTCCTCGGTTATTTAAATTTTCAATTAGTATTAATTAAGAGTCAGATTTAAGTAATATAGAATTCGTAAACTTCGTATTAATGTGTTTTTTTTTAATTAAGTGCTGATATCTATCTAAAAACTAGCATTAACAAGAGTCTTTTCTCTCATGTGACTAATTATTATTTATTAATTCCAAATATAGTCTATACACCTTTTATTTAAATTCATTTCTTAAAAAAAATTGTGTTGTTGAGGGATAGAACAAACAACAATCTTCCATATTTTTTTTTTTTATTTATAAACCTATCAAGTACTTAATAAAAATAGCAGAATAAATAGGATTTTTTTTCTAACTTTTGTCATAAAATTTACGATAAAAGCTTATTGAGAACCAATCTAATTGGCCTCTAAAATTGTTAATTGCCTACATTTTTCTTTTACCAATTACGACTTCATTTTATATAGCCTCTAAATCATGAAGCTTTCAACTTAATTAGATAAATTTAATGGTGAAATTCTTATAAAACCAAAATTGCCATGAATAAAACGTGCTCACTCTAAATGCCAAGCGTTCTCATGTCAAACAACGAAAATGGCCGACCTTTTTAGTTATACTTGATATTATAGAGAGGTACTTCGTTAACTAGATTAGTGAAAAATTGTCCTCGTGTACTTTATGTTGGTTTCTAGTAATTTAGTAAAATATTGAGATAATTTTAAGCTTTCAGCTAAACCTGTTGGGCAGATAAATTTGGATCTAATTGGAGGTAAATTTGAATATAACATAACTAAGTGTAATTTAGCTGACTACCTAAAAGTATTTTACATTAAGTTTCTTATAATTACTTGTTTTTATCTTCCTATTTTTTAATTCGTTCCTAAAGTAGACTTCTGTATGTTTTTTTTTTCTGTGTATATAACGCAATATCTTTAACATTTTTTTTTTTACATTTGAAGAAGTTTATTTACATTTTGGTTTTTTATTAATTTTGTAATTGAAGTTAAACTTCTGCTGCTGCTTCACAAACTTCTGTTTGTTGAAGAAGCTGTATTTTATTTTCAAATAACCATGCTAAGCCGAAATGGATCATTAGTATAAATAAGTTATAATATTTATATTCTTAATACATTATTATCATCAGATTTTGAAAATAAGTAACTACTTTGATATTGGGGGGAAACGGATTGTTAGCGATGGAGTTTGACAGCCCCATTGCTAGCAACATGCTCTACTAGGTCGACCTCCACGTGGTTGCCCTTGGAACCATCGTGAACAATTCTTGTTGAATTTGTCACGATGGGCTAACTGACCTACTTCATCCTCACCTATCATTCTTCACTGGTGTCCCGCCGGTGTATATCGATAGCGCTACCTATAGCTAGGGTTACCATTCCATTATCACCCATTAAAAAAAAAACTACTTTGATATTATTATTCACAATAAAATTTTAATACACTTTGACGTTTCATAATATACAATAAAATACCTACTCTCAGATTTCAGATTTTCTCAATTACGAAGTTTATCCGACCAAAAACCTTATACGTAATTATCCTTTTGAAATGTGCCTGTGAATATATTTTTCTTAATTTAACGGTATATGAGCATAATAGGTACCATTATACTTTAATATATTTCATTAAAAAATATAAAGAATAAAGCATAATATTGGGGGTCATTCACCCTTCTTTAGATTAATTAATTATATACAATACGATTAATTTTGTTTAACCCAACGATAAAATTCTCCTAGTCTGTTAATATCACGCTCCCAGCGCGAGGGACCTGTTACAACCGACGGGTTTTACAAAATGAATCTTAATATAATTCATAAAAAGTAGATTTTTCTGTAAATATAAACATTATTTCCCAGGATAATATATTTAATTCTTTAATTAGATATTATCCTGGAAAATACAGAAATTTTTAAAATCCTGAAGATACCCTAAAACCCAACAAGTCACTTACTTGGTACTCAAAAACATCTATTCAATCTCAAGTATCCAAATAATAAAGATAGGTAACTAAAGTGTCTCATACATCTTGATGTGTATGTATGGAAATAGACATTAGTTGTGATAATGAAATGAAAGAAACATATGATAGACATAAAATTTATTGTGCACGAAATTCCTGTGTATATCCATAGGTAATGTTTATTGTAGGTACATGCACTATACTAAATCTTACTCACTAATTTATAAAACCTTTTAAAAACTTAAATTCACAGCCCTTTATATTAATACCTTAATAATTAACATTTGATTAATTAATTAATTGTTTTTAAAACATTCTCTATTTATCTGCATTTATATAATATTAATTTTAAATCACTAAAAGCTAAATATATAATGTATGTTTTATATACTTATAAAAGTAATTAGTTACTTAACTTTGAGGTTATCCTATAATGTAGCTTAAAATTTGTTATTTTATTTTTTAAACGTAATCTATTCATATAAATATAACCATTTGAATAAAGAAAACAAACTTTATTTCAGTACATAATAATAACAAACATATAGTTAAATGCATAATAAGATCAATGTTCCCTTATTGTTTCACGTTTCACTGTAAAGAATTTTCCTCTCCGCCAAATACTTGCCTCATTTAACTGGAGGAGGAAAAAAGCGGATTCGTTTTTTTTTCCTTGTAATATTTAAACATCGTCTTCTATTCCGAACATTTATTTTTATTGTTAATATAAATAAGCCGGTCTCGGGAATAATATTATTTAGCTCGAAGTACTTTTACAACGCTTGGAGTCTGGATGATTGTTTTGTGGATACAGGTAATGTGTGTCAAATAAATTGTGTATACATAACACTACCTAATACTTATTCAATGTTAATTGAATAGCGATTACATTATTTTTTTTATACCACTGATATGGCAAACAAGCATACGGCTCACCTGATGGTAAGCGGTTACCGTAGCCTATGAACGTCTGCAATACCAGAGGTATTACGCGCGCGTTGCCGACCCTGAAGAAACCTTTTTACCCCCCTTTTGAAGAGCCCCATGCTGTAGTCTCTTGGGAAAACCTCGGCAGGGAGTTCATTTCATAACCTGAGTGTACGTGGGAAAAACCATCTCTGAAACCGCGTTGTACGCGACCAAGCTTGGCTGTAAGGTATGAGGGTGAACTCCCTGTCGATGGCGAGCCGTACGATAGAAAGTGGTCGTAGGCATCATATTGAATAATTCCTCAGAGCACAATCCATTGTACAAGCGGTAGTTATTAGTTGATAATTATCAAGTAATTGATAGTAATTCTCCAGTATTCATAATTTTATTGATATCCTAACTTCCATCTTTAAAATCTACTAATCGCTGTATTGAAAGATATTATAATCTTGTCTGTTTGAATTGATTTTAATGAAAATATAAACAAAGTAATAAATGACTCGATCATAATTACTTTTTTTATGCAACTTATAATGGCAAACAAGCTGACGGCCCACCTGATGGAAAGCAGTAACTGTCGTCTATAAACATGAGCAGTACCATGCACATAACAGAGTATACTATTTCGCCCACGATACCCCCATGCGTTGCCATTCCTGAGAACTCAGGTGTTATTCCTCTGTACCCTGTAAATTCACTGCCATATCTCACCCTTCAAACCGAACAACAGCCATACAAACACAACTGCTTAACGATTGAAACACGAACAGGACAGAGGTACCAAAGCAAACGACTTTTGTACAAAGTCTCCCTCTGATTGTCTATTGATATCCAACAGTAATACAAATCAAATATCAATGAATTGATTGTATGTTTCAATTTGTTACCAATTTCATTTATAATCGTTTATGCTTTAAAACAGCGCTTTAACGCTTCAAACGTTGATGCAAATATGCTGAGCGTAGACCTATTTCACAGAACATTGCGACACACACACGCACACAAGTATACACTTGCACTTATTATTATTTTTTGCTGTTTATTTTAGGTTTTATTTTTTTATTATATTGTTATATTAGTTATATTATATTGTCATATTGTTATATAAGTTTTTTTTTATTTATACTACTGTGTGAGTCGCATGATTCTATGAATAAATTCTTTCTTTATAAAGTTTTACTGTGGTAATTCAAACAAAACTTGTTTTATTAAATTCAAAATACACTACATTGGCTTAATTCATAATCAATTTACGCAAAATTGAATCGAAATCTTAATGACAATAGAACTGAATATTGCAAGATATTATTTTCCATTAATTTATGTGTAACGACTGTGTATTTTGAGCTTTTCAGGAAATATTCCTTCCATTATATATAGATTTTAGATATGACACAAAGGCATAATAGACTCAGCATTTTCCAATTTAATTTCGGTACATACAATAAAACGAAATATTCGAAGATACTGTTTTCCATTAATATGTAATTATAAATTATACATATAATTATAAATTCCCATGGTATATATATATATATATAAATGGTATTCCTCGTTTTCTCCCACTACTTGAATACGCTTGGATTTTAAAAGTGGAAAGATATTAAAATTTAAATACTTCTAAATAATGTATTAAGATAAAATATACACCACATTTTAAGTTAGATCTTTAGGAACGTAACTGTGAAAACTACATCTAATTGGGTGTTTATGTATTAGTAGTTTTTTACGCTATACCTGAACAAACACACAGACAGACAAAAAGACAAAAATTCTAGAAATTATTATTCTGACATGTATCGGTCTTATTAAGACCCTCTCGTATAAATTTTTCTTAAATGTCTTTCATGTACAGAGATCGTCTTGTTACAATTTTACTATATTTGTAAGATGTGCTAACATCTATTAGGGGGAGGGCGGAGGGGGAAGAGATTATTAGTAATGCGGACTACCAGTCCCATTTCTCTCTGTGAACTCTCATGGTCTCTCCTGAAAATCATCGTGCTGAATTCCAGGCGTATTCATCACGATGGGCTAACTGACCTGCTTTGTCATCTCACCTATCATCTCTCACTGGTACCCCGCCAGCATATACCATTAGCGTAGGCGAGGATACCATTCCATTATCATCCATTAAAAAAACATCTATTAGAATTAAACTGATACACCACTTGTCATAAACTATGATATTATAAACTCTATTAAAAATTTCCATTTTTTACAAAATTAACTTACAATACCATAGGTCTCGACGTCTTTGGGATAAAAGAAGTTATTCTTCCTCATGGGAATTGAAGATATCTGCTGGTCCACTGGTACCCTCGTATCGTAGAGGGATGGAGATTGGAAAATGATACCGAAAGTGCCAACGAAGCAGGCAATGGTGAAGAGCCATAAAAAGAAACGGTCCAGAACCATAGACATGAACTTCCAATCTTCGACCACCTGTGGACAATAAAAAAAATACTTTTAATTTTTTAACAGATAAAAGCCAAAATAATGTAATTCATGAAAAATTCAAATATAGTCACAGAGTATTTAGTATTTCGTACCAGAAGTTATCTATTACATTGGTTTTCCTACAGTTCAAATCCACGCATACACAATTACGGGCAAAAAACTAGTTTAATATAAATATAGTTAAATTGCTATCTCCGAAATAGACATAGAAGCAGTTAATGCTAAAGGTCATTGCATATATCTCTTGCTTCATCCACTTCATAACTTGTCTATTGTGCATTCATTCTTGTCCAGAAGGCCTGGTAGTGAATTTGAGTATTTGAAACTCTCTTCCTTATTTGAAGCTTCCCTTGAGAAGTGACAAGCGAATCCGTCGATGGAATCGTTGTTGAAAGAGAGTCCATGAGTTGAAATGAGACATCCGACGCTACTGTCTCATCGATGGATTCGCTTCTCCCTTATCTACAGGGCGAGGTAATGTAGAATTACGAAAGAATTCAAATAAAACAAATAGGTGGATCATATACTTTCTGTGGAAAAAGTTAAACATCAAAAACATACAAAATCAGCGTTTATGTACTGTTAAGAGCAATTATATTTAAGTAATGCAACCTCTTTACTGTTTTTGTATGAAACATTGTTTTTGACAGTTTATGTAAAATTAAAAATAATATTAAAATTGTCAATATGGAAAAAATGCAATCTTCGATAAAAAAAAAAAGAAAAAAAAAATGAAAACTTTGATTAATATGCAGATTTTTATTTAAAATAGATAAAAATACATTTATAGCATATACATTTTGGTCCTACGAGCCGAACGGATGATTTAATTGCTATCGTTTTAAGTTCTGTGATGAGCTGTGGTATTCAATTGCAAAACGGTAAGAAATATTGCGACGGCTGAGGACGGAGACTCCGCTGCTATCATCGAGTGGGTTTCAAGTATCAATTGCAGCAGTGTGTCAGTCTCTGTAGTAGTTTCAAGGAAAACTGTGAGTACAATTTGACATTCGACTTAGAGAATATTCATCGTTTAAATATTGAAACTTAGAAAATTTATTGAAAATGGATGCAAACCTACGAGTTTTAGAAGATATTAAAATTCAAATAGAAAAAGCAAGATTAAATTTTAAAAAAGCGCCGAGGGATAGAATAAATGAAAACTATTTAGAAACAAGACTTCAGATTCTAGAAAAACAATACATAAATTTTACCTCAAAACATGAAAAGTTAATCGCCCTGTATGAACCTAATGTTTTAAATGCTACCGATTATGTCAAGGATGAAGTGTTTGAACTAGTGACTGAAACTTATTTAGATTATAGAGTAGAATTAAAAAATGCTTTATCTAATGTTAAATATTGTAATTTAAATAGTAATTGCGAAGTTTCACCTAACTCTTCTAAGGCAGATTCGTTGGCTAAATTACCCAGAATCCGAATACCTGTGTTCACAGGCCGGTATACTGAATGGACTTCATTTCGCGATTTATTTCTTTCGCTTGTCCACAACAATCCTGTTTTATCATACAAAAGTTGCATTATCTAAAAACACAACTGTCAGGTACAATTGATTAGGCATGTACCGATTACTCAATCTAATTATATAAAATGTTGGAACATGTTAACAGATAGATATAATAATAAAAGGTTTATGTCAAATTGTATTTTAAAGCGATTTTTCAGTCAACATAACATAGTAGCAGAATCTTCTAGTGCTCTTAAGGAACTCCTATAACGATTTACATGAATCGAATATTGGTATTGATACGGAGTGACTAAATTACAGGTGAGTCAACAACAATTCAAAAGTTTTTAGAAACGCGTTTTCGTGCTCTGGAATTCGTAGAATAAAACCAAAAGTTGTTCAGATTAAAAAGGTTTTGCATACTGTGTCAAATATTAATTGTTCAAAATCATAGGTTATACAATTGCAAAAAATTTTCTCAGGAAGATGTTGATAAACGTCGTAGGGCATTGCAATCGCTTTCCTTGTGCTTTAAAATTAATCATAATGCGACAATAAAACACATTATTAATAAACTATTGCAGATGTGTTCACATCACAAGTTGAAGAAGTGGAGGTTCATCTCAGTCAACAGAGACTCCATCAAATATAGCATCCCATTTTTTGAAAGGAAGTAAACGAGGACAAGTCCTTTTAGCCACAGCTATATCAATCGAAAAAATGGATCAACCGACAACAGCGAAGGGTCACTATATGCAGATGACGTACAACTCCTTCAATTAAAAAAGGTTTGTTTCGGGAGTAGGTGGTACTAGTAATGACAAAATTTCCAAATACGTTGTTGTTGTCAATCTCCAGTCACGGTATGACCCTTCATTTAAAATCCAAGTAACAGCTAGAGTGGTAGATACAGTAACATCATATTGCCTGAAAGAAAATGTATAGTTGACCAAAATATTTCAATTAGCTGATCCTTATTATTGACATATTAGAAATGGCAGAAACCTAAAAACCAATGCCATAATAGGTTGGATATTGTTGATAGGGTTGTTAATGTCATAGCTATATTTATACTGATGTTAATTTGTTAAAACGTTTCTGGGAGTTAGAAGATAAACCCTTAATATATTTTCTCCTGAAGAACAGGCATGTGATTATTATGCAGCAACAACACGTAGGGATAAATCTTGTCAATAATCCTTCTCTTAAATGTGATTCTATTTTTAAAAAGATTTCTTTAAAAAGATTCAAATTTGAAACGCCGGTGTTCAGGTGTTATTAATGAATATTTAACTTTTGGAACATTGAGAAATTGCTGAGGAATCGGATAAAAATAAAGTTATTGTACTATATTTACCTATTAAAAGAAAGAACTAAAGCAAGGGTTTTATATTATATTCGGGCAAGAAATAAATATACGTTTGTCCGGAGTTACATTTATTATTTTTTATACATATAAAAATAACCATGAAAGATCTCATTTATGTCAAATGATACCAATTTTAACAAGAAGAAGTCACACGGGGCCAAATCCGGCGAATAGGGGGGGTGTTCGGTCACCGTAATGGAATTTTTACTCAAAAACTCACGGACAACAAGAGAGGTGTGAGCAGGGGCATTGTCGTGGTGAAGAATCCAACGCCCCTCTCGCGCCAATTCTGGACGAACTCGTGCCACACGAGCTTTGAGGCGTCTGAGCACATCGACGTAGAATTTTCCATCAACTTTAGGGACGAATTATCCCCCGAACATCGAAAAAAACAATCAACATTGTCTTGACATTTGACTTTTCTTGATTTTTTTGTTCTGCTGTCTTAGTTATTAATTAAACTTCATAGCTGTTTTACAGAAAGTATAATGCAGTGAAATTATTGACAAGCCATAGATATGAAGAAGCATAACCTGCGCTCTCTTAAAAACTTTTATTTTCCGGAACGTGTTCAACGGAAATATTTATGTTTATCAAATGGCGTAAATATCCAATTTGTATGGCAGCTGACATCGTAAAGATGTACAGGCAAATAAAAGTAGCAGAGCAACACGTCGATTTTCAAAAAATTGTATGGCGAGAAGATATTCACTCTGAAATACTCGATTATCGTCTCTTGATAGTCACATTTGGTACTTCTTGTGCTCCGTATCTTGCAGGCAAATCGTTACAGCAAGTTTTCCCATTGGCTTCGTGGATGACATTATGATAAAAGAAACTGTTGATGTGTCGACAATTCACGAGCTTTTGTTGTCTTGACAAAAGAAATAATGAAAGCAATGATAAAGAAAAAGCAAACAATTTTGAAATAAAATCTGATGATGTAACAAAACTAAAAGGACTTACCTAGAACCGGAACAATGATGAATTTCATTTTATGGTGAAATCTGAAAATATCGCACCTATAACGAAATGAAAAAAAATGATTATGTAATGATTGAGTTACATGATTTTAGTGATACTTCGAATATTGCAGATTCCGCTGTGGTCATAAATTCCGCTGTGGTATATATTCGAGTGGTATATATTCCGCTGTGGTATAGATTGTGAACATAAAATTCATTGCAATTTAGTAACAGCTAAAACAAAGGGTAACTAAACAGATATTCTTACCTTGACTCGATTTTTTTAGCTAAATTGTTAAGCAAAGTATATAAAAGCAAATATGCATTCTGACTTGGTTTTATGTTAGTTGAGTTATCAAGTAAAACTTTATAATTGTAATTTAGAGATACATGTATTTTGTTTTCAAAAGAAAATCCTGTACACTGTACAGATCTCTTAGAAAAATCTCTTTGGATATAATACGTACGTACAGAACCTAGAGGCACGAAACTCGTTTGAAAGAAAGGATTGTAAAGTTTCATGTAACAGATATTAATGCAAATGGTTATATCAGGATAAAAAAATTGAATAGCATAATAGCGATCTATAGAAGATTTTTGAAACGAAAAATTTATTAGATATACTACATTTGATATACTTTTTCATAAATACAAATGGCTAATTGTACAGCAGGATCCCATTAGCAATGGAAGATAATCTTCCACCAGCTAAATGGTTGTTTGACATTACAGAGTATCCAGGAAAAGACGGTATAAGCAAAAATTCGATAATTAAGCGTCACATATTTGTTGTTTACCAGTGATGAACTGAAAAATGTTTTATTACTTTTATTGCTTAATTCTAATGTTGTATTTTTCAATAATTGTTATTTAAATACTCTAATGTTTTAATGCTTTATTGTGTTGTCTCTGAAATATGTTGTTTTTAATTTTATGAGTTAAATAGCTTTTTATTTATCTATTGTTAACTGGTCTTGCATTAAATATTTATGTAATGTAGTAATATGTTTTAATTTTTTCTTATACTTAGGTTATGGACTATTCGTCCATGCAATGTTAACAATTATATTTAAGTAATGCAACCTCTTTACTGTTTTTGTATGAAACATTGTTTTTGACAGTTTATGTAAAATTAAAAATAATATTAAAATTGTCAATATGGAAAAAATGCAAACTTTGATTAA